AAGTGATATCTCATTGTGGTTTTAATTTGCATTTCCCTGATAATTAGTGATGTGGAGCATCTTTTCATGTGTCTGTTGGCCATCTGAATTTCTTCTTTGGAGAACTGTCTCTTCATATCCTCTGCCCATTTGTTAATCGGGTTATTTGCTTTTTGATGTTGAAGCGTGCAAGTTCTTTATATATTTTGAATGTTAACCCCTTGTTGGATATGTCATTTACAAATATATTCTCCCATACTGTAGAATGCCTTCTTGTTTTGTTGATGATGTCCTCTGCCATACAAAACCTTTTTAGTTTGATGTAGTCCCATGAGTTCATTTTTGCTTTTGTTTCCCTTGCTCAAGGAGATGCGTTCAAGAAGAAGTTGCTCATGCTTATATTCAGGAGATGTTTGCCTATGTTGTCTTCTAAGAGTTTTATGGTTCCATGACTTGCATTCGGGGCTTTGATCCATTTCAAGTTTACTTTTGTGTATGGGGATAGACAATAATCCAGTTTCATTCTCTTGCATGCAGCTGTCCAGTTTTGCCAACACCAGCTGTTAAAGAGGCTGTCATTTCCCTATTGTATGTCCATGGCTCCTTTATCATATATTAATTGACCATATATGGTTGGGTTTATATCAGGGTTCTCTAGTCTGTTCCATTGTTCTATGGTCTGTTCTTGTGCCAGTACCAAACTGTCCTGATTACTGTGGCTTTGTAGTAGAGCTTGAAGAATAAATCCCCCCTGCTTTATTCTCCCTTCTCAGGATTGCTTTGGCTATTCAAGGTCTTTTGTGGCTCCATATGAATTTTAGGACGATTTTCTCTAGTTCGTTGAAGAATGCTGTTGGTATTTTGATGGGAATTGCATTGAATCTATAGATTGCTTTAGGCAGGATGGCCATTTTGACAATATTAATTCTTTTTATCCACGAGCATAGGATGAGTTTCCATTTATTGGTATCTTCTTTAATTTCTCTTATGAGTGTCTTATAGTTTTCAGAGTATAGGTCTTTCACTTACTTGGTTAGGTTTATTCCTAGGTATTTTATTCTTTTTGATGCAACTGTGAATGGAATTGTTTTCCTGATTTCTCTCTATACTAGTTCATTGTTAGTGTATAGGAATGCCACAGATTTCTGTGTATTAATTTTGTATCCTGCAACTTTGCTGAATTCAGATATTAGGTCTAGTAGTTTTGGAGTGGATTCTTTAGGGTTTTTTATGTACAATATCAAGTCATCTGCAAACAGGGACAGCTTAACTTCTTCCTTGCCAATCTGAATGCCTTTTATTTCTTTGTGTTGTCTGATTGCCATGGCTAGGACCTGCAGTACTATGTTGAGTAGAAGTGGGGAAAGTGGGCATCCTTGTCTTGTTCCCAATCTTAAAGGAACAGCTTTCAGCTTCTCACTGTTAACATAATCGGCTGTGGGTTTGTCATATATGGCCTTTATTATGTTGTGGTACTTGCCCTCCATACCCATTTTGTTGAGTTATCATGAATGGGTGTTGAATTTTGTTGAATGCTTTTTCACCATCTATGGAGATAATCATGTGGTTTTTGTCCTTCTTTTTGTTGATGTGGTGGATGATGTTGATGGATTTTCTAATGTTGTACCATCCTTGCATCCCTGGGATGAATCCTACTTGGTCATGGTGGATGATCTTTTTGATGTATTTTTTAATTTGGTTTGCTAACATTTTGTTGAGTATTTTTGCATCTATATTCATCAGGGATATTGGTCTGTAGTTTTCTTTTTTTTGTGGTGTCTTTGCCTGGTTTTGGTATTAGAGTGATGCTGGCCTCATAGAATGAGTTTGAAAGTATTTCCTCTTCTTCTACTCTTTGGAAAACTTTAAGGAGGATGGGTATTAGGTCTTCACTAAATGTTTTATAAATTCAGCGGTGAAGCCATCTGCTCCAGAGATTTTGTTCTTAGGTAGGTTTTTGATTACCAGTTCAATTTTGTTGCTGGTAATTGGTCTGTTCAGATTTTCTGTTTCTTTCTTGGTCAGCCTTGGAAGATTGTATTTTTCTATAAAGTTGTCCATTTCTTCTAGGTTATCCAGTTTGTTAACGTATAGATTTTCATAGTATTCTCTAATAATTCTTTGTATTTCTGTGGTGTCCATAGTGATTTTTCCTTTCCCATTTCTGATTCTGTTTATGTGTGTAGACTCTCTTTTTTTCTTGATAAGTCTGGCTAGGGTTTATCTGTTTTGTTTATTTTCTCAAAGAACCAGCTCTAGCTTTCATTGATTCTTTCTATTGTTTTATTCTTCTCAATTTTATTTATTTCTGTTCTAATCTTTATTATGTTCCTCCTTCTACTGACTTTGGGCCTCATTTGTCTTCTTTTTCTAGTTTCATTAATTGTGAGTTTAGACTGCTTATATGGGATTGTTCTTCTTTCCTGAGGTAGGCCTGTATTGCAATATACTTTCCTCTTAGCACAGCCTTGGCGGTGTCCCACAGATTTTGCAGTGTTTAATTATTGTTGTCATTTGTCTCCATATATTGATTGATCTCTGTTTTTATTTGGTCATTGATCCATTGGTTATTTAGGAGCATGTTGTAAAGCCTCCATGTGTTTGTGGGATTTTTCATTTTCTTTGTGTAATTTATTTCTAGTTTCATACCTTTGTGGTCTGAAAAACTGGTTGGTATAACTTCAATCTTTTTGAATTTACTGAGGCTCTTTTTGTGGCCTAGTATATGATCTATTCTTGAAAATGTTCCATGTGCACTTGAGAAGAATGTGTATCCTGCTGCTTTTGGGTGTAGAGTTCTGTAGATGTCTGTTAGGTCCATCTGTTCTAATGTGTTGTTCAGTGCCTCTGTGTCCTTACTTATTTTCTGTCTGGTTGATCTGTCCTTGAGAGTGAGTGGAGTGTTGAAGTCTCCTAGAATGAATGCATTGCATTCTATTTCCCCTTTTAATTCAGTTAGTATTTGTTTTACATATGTAGGTGCTCCTGTGTTTGGAGCATAAATATTTACAATGGTTATATCTTCTTGTTGGATTGACCTCTTTATCACTGTGTAATGTCCTAGTCTCTTGTGACTTTCTTTGTTTTGAAGTCTATTTTTTTTGATACAAGTACTGCAACTCCTGCTTTTTTTCTATTAGTTGCATGAAATATCTTTTTTCATCCCTTGACTTTTAGTCTGTGCATGTCTTTAGGTTTGAGGTGAGTCTCTTGTAAGCAGCATATAGATGGGTCTTGTTTTTTAATCCATTCAGTGACTCTATGTCTTTTGATTGGTACATTCAGTTTATTTACATTTAGGGTGATTATTGATAGGTATGTACTTATTGCCATTGCAGGCTTTAGGTTTGTGGTTACCAAAGGTTCAAGGTTAACTTCCTTACTATCTAAGAGTCTAACTTAACTCACTTAATATGCTCTTACAAACACAATCTAAAGGTTCTTTTTTTTTTCCTCCTTTTTCTTTCTCCTCCATTCTTTATGTATCAGGTGGCATATTCTGTACTCTTTGTCTATCCCTTGATTGACTTTGGGAATAGTTAGTTTAATTTTGCATTTGCTTAGTGATTAGCTGTTCTGCTTTCTTTACTGTGGTTTTATTACCTCTGGTGGAAGCTATTCCACCTTAGCAACACTTCCATCTATAGCAGTCCCTCCAAAATAGACTGTAGAGATAGTTTGTGGGAGGTAAATTCTCTCAGCTTTTGCTTATCTGGAAAATTTTAATCCCTCCTTCAAATTTAAATGATAATCTTGCCAGATAAAGTAATCTTGGTTCGAGGCCCTTCTGCTTCATTGCATTAAATACATCATGCCACTCCCTTCTGGCCTGTAAGGTTTCTGCTGAGAAGTCTGATGTTAGCCTGATGGGCTTTCCTTTGTATGTGATCTTATTTCTCTCTCTGGCTGCTTTTAATAGTCTGTCCTTATCTTTGACCTTTGCCATTTTAATTACTGTATGTCTTGGTGTTGTCTTCCTTGGGTCCCTTGTGTTGGGCGATCTGTGCACCTCCATAGCCTGAGAGACTATCTCCTTGCCAAGACTGGGGACATTTTCAGCAATTACCTCCTCAAAGACACTTTCTATCCCTTTTCATAAAGCAATTTAAAGAAAAATATTAGGTAAATAGCAGAACAGATGATACAAAGATCATGAAGGTCATGAGGGAATGACTCAAGTTTGGGCAATGTCACAGCTAACAGTCGCAGCTTCTATTTACTAGTCATTTACTATACACCAGGCCCTGTGCCAAGGACTTTACATGTAGGTATGGCTATAGTGGTAGTTTTCCATTTGAGGAAACTGAGGCCCGAAGGAGTGAAGTTACTTTATCAAGGTCACTCAGACAAAAGGTAGTGAAGCTGGGATTCAAATCCATGTCAGTGCATCTTTAGACCTGTTTTTTGGGCCTCAGTTTACAGTTTTGGAACCTGAGGTCCAGAGATGCCATGAGGCCCTGCACTTTGTTTCAAGTCAATTGGAATGGAGAAAAGTGATTGGATGAGAGACATTTGAGAGAGAAAATATTAATGGCTTCCTGCTGATTAGATGTGGGGGTTGAGGAAATAGGAGTCCAAGGGCCATACCTAGGTCTCTAGCCTGGTTGACAGCATGGCAGAGAGGATGCCCCTGAACTGGAAATCAGGTAGGACAAGGAAGAGGTTTGGATGTTTCTTGGGGGAGTCTGTTTCCTGGAATGACAGTTTATCTTTGAGTGAGTTATGTATGTGCATGTGCGTGGTTAGGGGTTGGACACATGGGTTTGGGACTTCGGTTGCCCAGCTGGCAGAGTGCAGGGGATGACTAGGGATGTCTGCCTAGAGCACAGGCGTGGAAAGCGTCTATCAAGGCTTGGCTATTCCTGGGATTGGTGGTCTCTCAGCATTCTCCCCTCAGTTCATAAACAGACGGTAAAGGCTTCTTTCCTGGAGACAGGGAAGGCTCCTCCTTGAGTTCCCACTTAGCTGCTTTCAGTACAGGAAGGTGAGGGCTGAGTGGACTGGAAGCACAGGAGGCCTTGGGTTTTTCACAAGTCTTTATTACAATGTAAATCCAAGCTCAGGCCTCCCCTGGGCCCCATGCAAAGCCCCAGCGCGGAGCCTAGTGGCGTCCAGGAGACACCAACCCCTCCCGGCGTCTCCAGGGGCGGAGAGCCCTATCTAGGCAGGCCCAGCGGCCAAGGTGCTTCGCCTTTCCTTGACTCTTGGAGCAGAGCCTCTTGGGAAATGTAGTCCGGGCCACTCAGACAATGGAGCAAATTCCCAGGTTCGAGTGATCCTGACACCCACTGGGAAATGGCTCGGGGGGAGGCGGGGAGAGGGTTGGGATGGAAGGAAGACGGAGTGGGGTGGAAGGCTGCAGGGGATTGGGGCAGGCATCCCGCGGGCAGAGACACCCCTTTCATTCGGCTTTGGCTTTGGGTCCGGAGACTGCGGCTGGTGCCGAGGCAAGGGCTCCGGAGCCTGGGATCTTCGCTCGGATCCTGAGGGAGAAACAGGTAGAGTCATGACGTATGGCAAGAAACTGGGTAGGTATCTAAGAACTAAAGGGAAAACTGAAAGTGGGGGACGAGCTGAAAGCCCAAAGCCAGCTCCCGCTCTCCACCTAGTGGCCAGCGTTGGAACTGTCTGTCACCCTTTTAAGAAGGGCGCATTCAGCTCCAGTAGATTTAGAGACAGGGAATATGGGGCCACTGGATGTGTGTGTGTGTGGGGGGGGGGTTCCCAAGCTTACCCCTGCCCCATCCCATGTATTTCCACCCCATGCCCTTACTTAGCTTTGATGTGGCTCAACTGATTGGTCACCAATCCCACATACTGGTCCATCTGGGCCTGAAGAGACCAAGAAATGGTCAAAGGAGAGTTCCCATTGCAGGGGGTTCTTCTTCCTAATTCATTCAGGAGGCTGCTTCCTCCTCCACCTCAAAAGTAGGATTTGGGGGCGTGGCCCACCACTCCACCTTCAACTCTAAACCTCATAAAATACCCTTGGAAGTTAGACATCCAAGTTGAAGTGTCTGTCAGTTGGCCCCCTCTGTGTGGGGAGTGATGTCAAGTAGACACAAGAATGTGCCAGTGAGTCTGTTTCCTGGGATAACAGTTTATCTTTGAGTGAGTTATGTATGTGCGTGTGCGTGTGGTTAGGAGTAGGGTGGTTAGAGGGCACTGGTGTTGGTTGTCAAGTCCTTGAGTGCATTACTTTAAATACTAGTTTAATTTACAGTTAGTTGACTTTGAGTCTTGGTGATTCCGGCATGTGAAGGAGTTGGGGCTATCTCTCTGACAGAGACATGTCATTTGGTTCTCAGCTGTGCTGCAGAAGGGCATGTCAGCCCATCTGCCTGTCTCTGGATGGGATATATGTCAGTTGGCCTTGGTTCTGTCAATCTTCTGGGTAATAGTCATTCCACCCACCTGAGGTTGACTGAGATGTCGTTCCCTAGCAGTTTCAGGCAATGGGAGCATCAGTCAGTCCACTTGTTTGGTTGGGCTGTTGAAATGTATTAGTTAGACTCTAGCTGCATTGTGGAGGGGCAGCAGGCAGACCACCTGTGCCTGGTGAGGACATTTGTCCATTCATTCCTGACTCTTTCAGGAGTGGAAGTACCAGTTGGTCCTCCTATCTCCCACTGGGACATCTGTCAGTAAGACCCTGGCTGTAAAGGGTGGGACAGTCAGATGACTTGTGTTTGGCTGGGATGCTGCCAACTGAGGACCTGTCACACTCACCTGGTGCTGCCGATAGAGCAGGGGGATGGTGAATAAACAGATCACTCCTGTGGGCACAGAGATGGGGGTCAGGTTCTCCCAAGGGGTTTCCATCTAGATCCCTGCCCTCAGCAAACCCCAACAACCCACGTGCCCCCACAGCCTTCCCAGCTCACCCATAATGAGAAGAGTCAAGCCATTGAAGACGGCACCCACGAAGGTCAAGATGTAGAAGAGAAGGGCCAGCTGGGGGTGAGGGTCAGGGTCAGCAGATTCTACAGGGCACTCCCCAGGATGTGACCTTACCCAGCATCGGTCCTTCTACCCCCAGGGGCAGGAAGGTGAATGTTAGGAACCCAGGAGGGAGTGGGGGCTTCAGGGCACCTTGAGGGAGTCCACAAGGTCTTCTACCAGGAAATAATGCCGCAGCTGGATGGCTGCAGAGATCACTTGGGAAGCAATCTGCTGGGACAAACGTTCCATCTGCTCCTGAGTGAGGGTCAGATCCACATCCAGATAGGCCCTGAGAGGACCAAGAGGTGAGAGGTGACTCAATGGATGGATAGGGCCCAGGCTGAGGGGTGTGACTGGGACAAGACAAGAACTGGGAGTTGGGGAGCAGGCCTGGTGTAGAGGGCTAATGTCAAAGTCGAAGTCAGGAGACAGGATCAAAGATTAAGGGTAAGGGTTAGGATCAGAGGGTAAGGCTGGAAGTCAAGGGTCAGAGCCTAGTTTAAAGTCAGTGTCTGGGTCAAGTTGGAGTCAGAAACAGGAATAGAATTAGTCAGGGCCAGGGTGAGAAGTTATTTAATTTTGAATGCCATAGACATTGAGTTGGTGCCTGACTTGAGGCCACGGGTCATGACTTACAGTCAGTGTTAGGTTCTGGACAGAGGTCAGGGTTAGGGGCTGGGGGTTCTCACTGGAAGGGGTTGGCGCCATCCCCCCGGTGCACGGCCTGCAGCACTTTTCGGTAAACCCTGAGAGAGATGGTGGCGCAGAGCAGCAACAGGGCCACATGGGAAGTCACAGACACGATGCTAAAGTGCAGGAGGCAGAGCAGGGAGACCACGAGGCCTGTGAAGACCACGCCTGACGTCCTTGTGTCCTTCCAGTACAGCAGGTCCGCCACTGTGGAGGAGGGCCATCGGATTGGGGTTTGGACCTAGCCTGCCTGTCCTCTTGACTGCCCATTTCCTGTCTCAGGGCTGAACCATGACCTCTAGACACACCTGTCTGAGCTTTCACCTAATTTCCAAATTCTTAGTTTTTTTCTTTTATTCCTTACTTGCTTTCCCTCGTCTCCTTCTGGAAAACCCAAAGCAACCAACTAGCAAGTCCCCTGAATCTTACTCCTGCCTACAGACACAATTTTTGGTCATTACTATGAAAAATGGAATCACATAGACACTTTTCCTGCATCATGCATCTCTCACTTTACTTTCCCTCCTAGAGTCCCCTCCTAGTCAACTAGAATGGCTCTTCATTCATTCTTTTTAAGGACTCCACCATATTCTATAGTGTGGCTGCACCATCATTAATTTTATTTAACCATATATCTGAGAGTGGTTCATTTTGTTTCCTACCCTCCCCCATCCTCTACAAATATTCTTACCTCCCGGAGGTTCTATTTCTGAGACAGAATCCCAGGGGTGGAATGGCTGGGTGGACTAGTAATGTATTTTTGATTGTCTTAAGTATTGTCAAATTCCTTACTAGCAAGACTCTAACAATTTTTATTTCCATGAGCAACATGAGAGTGATCTTACCCTGCATCCTGCCCAGCACTGGGTGTCACTGTTCTTTTTATTTTCTGCCAACCTGACAGGTGTAAGGTGATATCTGCTTGGTACCCCTGCTAACACGTTTTTCTAAGTCCTAAATGTATTAACAATACCATCCTCCTTCCTAAGCCCTAGCTCAAATTTCTGACCCCTTTCTGAGACCCTAAACTCACCTCCCAAGCCCAACCTGAGCCCTGACCGTGACCTCTGGACTCCAGTGTTTCATCTCACCCACCTAAACCTTAACAGCTCTTCCGATAATCCCATCCCATTGGAGTGCAGACTGGGAGCCAAATACCCTTCCATTGGCTCCCAGACCTTCTCCATCCCCCCACCCGCTCTCCAGTCAAACTCTGACCCATCCGGACTGGTCCCCCTCAGAGTCTGATTCTTCTCACTTCACTTCTGCATTCCCACACACGTCTTCCCATCTACTTCTAACTAGGGCAGGCCTCCCCTCACCCCCAAAGCAGGGCGCTTTCCGGCAGGTAGCCCGAGGCCGGCGCCAGCGGGTGGGGGGAGGGGCCGGGTCGCCTGAGGCGGGGGCTAAGTTTAGGCACGCTGGGGGGAGGGGGCCTCGCCCGCAGCTGTGCTGGCCTGTCCAGCTCCTGAGTGACAGCGCCGCCTGGGCCTGCGGTTGGGGGAGGGGGCCTCCCTGCTCTTGGGCCCCAAAGCGCCGGCTTGGGGGAGAGTGGACCCCACGTTCTCTCCACGCCCTTCCTGGACATTCCCTCAGCACCCCTGGCCCCAGCCTGCAACTCTGATGAATCTGGGACCAATAGGAAACACCCCCCCCAGACTTAGGGAGAAGGGCGAACCTGGACCCCTTTCCGCCGTCCTCCAGCCCGCATCCCACCGGCCCGCCCTGCAAGCTCACCTTTACTCCCCATCTCCGCTCCGAGTGAGAGGCTGCGGACACTGCTGCTTCTCGGGGATTTTGTCCACTTCAGTGGAACCCGGAGGGAGGGGATAGAGGGGCGGGGCCCCTTTGAACACAGCCAATGACTCTCCACAGAGGTGTGGACAATTCCCTAAAGGGGTGGCTTTTCTCTTTGCAAACGGTCCAAAGCAGTGATGTCTGTAACCAACCTATGGCCCTTCGCGGAGGCTGGGCATATTTTAAAGGAGGGCGGGGTGTATTTACAACTGGCCAATGGATGTGGTCAAGGAAGAAGAGAGTTTTTAAGAGGCATAGAGTTAACTTACAAATGTAGCATCGCCACCATCTAAAAGAGCCTAATTTTTTCAGGGATACGGCCTTTCCAAAATCAGCCTCTAGGGGGAGTACTCCAAAAGAGAAATTGTTTTTTAGCAATCAGCCAATCCTAATGCTCGAAGGATGGCTAACTTCTCAAAGCAGGAGGGAGAACTATATGAACAGAGCCCCTGGCAATCTTAGATAACGGGAGTACTTTTTTAAAGGACGGAGTCAGTGCCCAATAGCAACACCTCCTCCCTTCTCCACTCTGTTCCTTCGCGAGGTTGGTCCCTTTAAATTCCAATCCTCCCACCCTTGCTGAATGCCAAAGGAGCTCCTCACACAGATTACCTAGGTGTGGTTCCAATGGGGATTCTGATTGGTCCATGCTATCGAAGCACTGCCCCACGATTGGCTCCCGCTCCAGTTGCCCGCACAGCTCTTCCTCCTTCGGGTCCAGCGAGGGATCATGAGGCCAAGAGTTCGAATCCCGGGAGCGAGAAGGGGATGGGGTTTGGGCCTGGGGGATTCCACAGCCGGGGCTGGGCTGTGGAGTCAAGACTTCGGGCGGTGAGGACTGAGAGAGTCCGAGTGGTAGGTCCAGTTCTGGCGTGTTAGAGAGACAAGGTATGAGCTTCCTCCTTGGAGGTGCCCTGAGAAAAGACCGACCACCCGCCCCTTGTGGCTTTGGTCCCAGCACCTCCAACATCTCACCTTTCCCAGCCTCTCCAGAATCTGATCCGTCGGGTTCCTCGTCTTCCAGAGGGGTGGAGCTACTCGTGGCAGAGTCCTCCCCCGAACCCGCTCTCCGGGCCGCCCAGCCCAGTTGGTCCAGTTGGAGTCCCAGGTCCTCCAGGGAGCGCTCGGCCGGAGGGGCAGTGTCGGGGTCACCACGGCGCCCAGGCTCTGGGGATTGGCTCAGGCTTGGGATGCTCTCCAAACTGTCTCCCAAGCCAGGCTGAGAAGGCAGGTCCCGCGGCTCTGAGACTGAGCGGCCCTGGGGCCTGGGGCGGCGGACAGCTGAATCCCGGCGAGCCCCGGAGCCCACTACGCCGTCAAAGGCGATGTAGGAGAAGGTCAGCTCCCGGGGGGTGCCCCAGTCCTGCGAAGTGGTCTCTTCCTCGTCGTCCTCCGAGAATTCCCGGGCTGTGTGCAGCTCCCGAAAATCCGAGTCGTCGTTCCCTCCTGCAGGCAAAGGAGGGTGTGAGCTCCCTAACCAGGACCCTGACCCGCTCTCCTCAGTCTCCGCAGCTGTGAGCCCACTTCAAGTCCTGCTCTCCCATATGGCCTTCCACTTACCTTCTGTGGAGTCAGGGGTAGAGGAGGCTGTAGATGGAGCTTCTTCTGCGGGAAGATAAGAATCAAAGATTTAGTCACTTAGATTGTCCGAATCACAGAAGTTTACCAGTTCTGGAAACTTGGATGGCCCAAATTGAGGAATCTTAGAATAAATACTTGAATCACAGGCCCTTTAGAACATTCTGCATACATACAGACTGTAAAACCTTACTGTCACTGCTACTGAAAGTTTAAATCCAAGAATCTTAATCTCAGGAATTTCAAATTAAGAATTTTAGGAGATTTCAATTCTTTCATTCTTTCAACAACCATTTATCAACTGTCTACTATGTAGCAGGCACTGTTTTAACCCTAAGGATAGATACAACTGAACAAAACAGACAAACCCCACCCTCCTGAGGCTTACACTCTATGGGGAAGAGGGACAACAAGTATATGATGTTGGATGCTAAGTGTGTGCAGAAAAATAAAGCAGGGAAAGGGAGGAGAAAATGAGAGGGTGCTATTTCAGACAGGGTGGTCAGGAAGAGTTCTCTGATAAAATGACATCTGAGCAGAGACCTAATTGAAGTGAGGAAGACATGCAAATATCCAGGGAGGAGTCCTCCAGGCAGAGGGAGAAGCCCAGTGCAAAGGCCCTGAGGCAGGCACTGTGTTTGACATATTTGAGGAACAGCGAGGTGTGAAGGTATGACAAACAGTGAGTGAGAGAGAGTGGTGAGAGATGAGGCCAGAGAGGTAAGAGGTGGGGGGAGATCATGCAGGGCCTTCCTTTGCAGGCCGAGGTAAGGACAAGATCTTACAGTCTTATTCTAGAATGTTGAAATAACAAATTCTTAGAATCTTGGCATCTGGACTCCCAAGACATGCAAGTGGCTGGATCTGAGAGTGTTAAAATCCCCAGCTGTCAGAACCACTGCGCGGTGGGGCAGAGAATGTTAGACAAGGACCACAAGAGCCCTGGGCTCAAAGATCTTGAGGATCAGACAAGGCATTTTCAGTTGGGGACTCTTGCCCCTCAGAGCTAGCTTGGGGCTTTGCCTACAGGAGATGGTCAATACCATTTGGAAATTGAAATTGGAAGCCCTCCCCCTCCCCACCCCCACCTTGTTTCCTCAGCTGGGGAATTGGGAGGCTGGGAATCAGAGGCCCAGAGCAGAGTGGGTCTCTTCCAGGGTTACTACTACTCAGTGGTAAAGCCCACTAGGGACCCAGGAGTCCTGGCCCCAACCCAGGGATAGCTGTTTTCCCGGGACAAGAGGTTGGACCATTTGGGTGAGGTCGGGGCTGCCTCTGAGTCTAGGCAGAAAACAGAGGTGGATGCAAAGATGGGTGATCGGGGGTCAGACCCTTCTCTATCCTGGGTCTACTTCTCCATTCAGCTCCCTTCACCGCCGGCTGCAGCCAGCACCAGGGCGAGGGGACAGCTCCCAGAGAGCTTCATCCCTGGGTGGGGCCAGGAGACATTCCGGCGCCTAGGGCGGCAGCCCCCAAACCATCTCAGTGCCCCCCACCTCCGCCTGCCCCTCAGGTCCTCCGGGTCAGGTCGCCCCGTAGTAGCTAAAACGCAGGGGGAGGGGAGAGCTTCCTTTGTCTCCTTCGCCTCATTCTCCATCCCAGCTCTCCCGCGGCCCGGCGCCGGGGGGCTACCGGGGGGCTACTGGGGAGGAGTCCACCCGGGCCTCTGGGCCCCATACCAGGCCTGACCCTCCCCTACTCACTGCAGTGGGCGAAGACCGGCAGGACCTGCCCCATGGCCCTCCTCGGGCCTGCATCAGGACCCCCGCCCACTCCGGCCACGCCGCCCTGGGCCTGGGGCCGCGGGCGCTCATCTCCGCCGCGCCCACGCCGCCGCCGCCATCCTCGCCACCTCCTCCGCCCCCGCCGCTCAGCTGCCTCGGCCTGCCGCCGCCGCCGCCGCCGCCGCCCTCTGCTCAGCTCGGCGGGGGCGGGCGGGGCCGCGGGGGAGAAAGCACTGCAGCGCGGGACTGGAGGCGGGGCCAGGGGCCGGGCTGGGCGGAACCTGAGGGACGGCGGGGAAGGGGGCGGGGAAATAACAAGGGGACGGGGAGAGGCGTGTATCTTCTACTAGAGGGGCGGGACTAGGAAGATAGGCCACGTGGGAGAGGAGTGGAAGGATGGGGTTTAGGCGGACGGGGGCGCGGCTTTTAGGGAAAGGGGCGGAGCTTGGGGTAGGGTGAGGGGCTCCGGAGAGAATGGTGAGGGAATCTGAAGGAGAGGATGGGGGGCGTGGATCTCAAAGAGGGTTGGGGTGGAGCTAGGGGTGGCATTCAGGAGAGGTTATTAAAGATTCTAAGGCTCTGAAGTAGGATCTGAGGGAAAAGGGGAGGGAAGAAAGAACTCAAAGTTTTGAGGCAAGGGGAGGATCTCGGACATGGGTGGGGCTTAAGCCAATTTAGAATTATTCGGATAGTTGGCGGGGCGGGGTGCTTCAGAAACACAGGCGCTAGAGGCGTAGGCCAGAGGGAACAGGAAAGGACAGGCAGGGGAGGGCGCGCGGCCCAAAAGGTGGGCGTAAACAGGAAAGAGGAGGCCAGCATTGGCTAGCCAGAGTGTGGGGGCTGGGCCTGCATGTAGGAGGCGGGGCTAGAGGCGGGGCCAGGCTGCGAATATTAGAAGCTTGTGAGGTAACGGGCTTGAATGGATGGGCAGGACCCGGAAAAGAAGCAAGACGAGACCCAGAATGGGACGAGTCAAGTAAAAAACAACGGATTTAAAGATTATGGAAATATAGGCGGGACCACTGGGGTGGGTGGAGCTTGGACAAAGCGGGGTTTGTGCCGACCGGAGGCCAAGAGTGTAGTGTTAAGAGGGATTCTAGAGTTTGTTTCCCTGCAACGCCGTTTACTTCTACGATTCAGTTTCCTCGTCGGTAAAATCAGCTGTGATTGAAAAATAACGTGTATCATATGGTAAGTGTTAGTTTGCTACTGTTATTTTTCCCGGAGCCAGATTCCAAATCTCGCTTTAAAGGTGCGGGAGAGAACATCGGGGAGTCAAATCCCTTCTATAGTAACTCGACTTGCGTGCACGTCAAGGGCATCGGGAAGGAGATTTCGGTGGTTTAAAATCTTACAGTCGAGGGGATTAATAGAGTGAGGGAGCAGATCTAGAGGGTGGAGCCTCTTTCCGATCCCCGGGTCGAAGGATGGCGGCTCTTGCCCGCCTGCTGGAGCGTCTTCTCTGTCCAGCTAGCAAGGAAGATGGGGCGGAGGACGAAGAGGAAAAGGAAGAAGAGGGGCCTCAGTTTATCCTGGACACGCCGCGATGCGCCCAGCGGCCGCACGGGGGTGTGGCGGCCTCTTGGGGACTGCGTTTCGAGGCAAGCGCCGCGCAGGGCTGGCGCCGCACATGGAGGACGCTCATTGCGCTTGGCTCGCGCAACCCGGGCTGCCCCCAGGTTGGGCTTTCTTCGCAGTCCTCGACGGCCACGGCGGGGCGCGAGCTGCCCTTTTCGGCGCGCGACACCTGCCCGGCCACGTGCTTGAGGCGCTGGGCCAGGCACCTGGCGAGCCTGAGGGCGTGTGCCGGGCGCTGCGCCGCGCCTTCCTGAGTGCAGACGCACGCCTGCACGAGCTCTGGCCCCGCGGCGAGCCAGGTGGCTCCACCGCTGTGGCGTTGCTTGTCTCCCGGCGCTTTCTATACCTGGCACACTGCGGTGATTCCCGCGCGGTGCTGAGTCGCGCCAGTGCTGTGGTTTTCAGCACCGAGGACCATCGGCCCCTCCGGCCCCGGGAACGTGAGCGCATCCAAGACGCAGGCGGCACCATCCGCCGCAGGCGCCTCGAGGGCTCTCTGGCAGTGTCGCGAGCACTGGGCGACTTTGCTCACAAAGAGGCTCCAGTACGGCCCCCTGAGCTACAGCTCGTTTCCGCAGAGCCTGAGGTGACCGCCCTATCACGCCGGGCTGAAGACGAATTCATGCTCCTGGCCTCCGATGGAGTGTGGGACGCGATGTCTGGCGTTGCCCTGGCAGGACTGGTGGCATCGCGCCTCTGCTTGGGCCTGGCCCCGGAGCTTCTCTGCGCGCAGCTGTTGGACACGTGTCTTTGCAAGGTCTAGCGGGCCGCTCGCAGAATCATTGAGGGGAAGAACCTAAAGGATATAGCGAGTAGGGGCTTGAATGGAGGGGCTTTGAGTAAAACTAGAGGAGGGGCTGGGGCTCCGCTAAAGAACGTGGCCTGCTGGAAGAGGTCAGGACCAAAATACGGAGTGGGCGGAAACTGAGGGATGCCTTGAGGTAAGATGGAAGAATAGTAGCGCTAGGATGATCAGTGGTAGAGATTTAAGAGAAGGGGAGTGGTCTTTTGGAGGGAACGGCTGTGGCACAGAAGAGTGGATCCCGAGATATGATTAGTGTCTGACGAAGATAGAGCAATTAGACAGCGGGGTGGGAGAAGCTTCAGAGAGGGGGCGTCACTCTCCTTGTTAGGGCAGGACCAGAACAGTGAGGGGGCCTGGTTTAGACTGGCAGGTGTCTCAGACCTGATAGGGGCATAACCAGATTGAGGAGGAGGGCACTGAAATGCGGAACTGGTCGGGAAGCTCTGTTTCCAAGGGCACAGAGTTGTACCGTGTTCCACCAGGCTCTCTTTTCTCCACCTTCTCCAGGGCAGCCTGGACAACATGACCTGCATCCTGGTCTGTTTCCCAGGGGCTCCCAGGCCTTGTGAGGAGGCGATCAGGAAGGAGCCAGCACTGGATGCAGCCCTGGGCCGCAGGGTGACTGGTGAGCAGGCGCCGGAGCTCAGTGGGAGGGGTGGTCGGCCAGCAAGGACACTCCTCATAACCCTTGCCTCCTTTGCAGAGCCGTGTTCATCTGCCCAGGAACCCCCCAGTATGAACACGGTTTTCAGGATTCTGGTCTCAGAGGACATCCCGAATTTACCATCCCGGAGGACTCTACTGCAAGTGAGTTGGGGTGGGGAATGGAAGGTGGGGAGCAGTGGACCGAAGAGAGTACCCACCTGACGACCTCTCTGCTCTCCAGAGCCACAGTCATCGCTGAAGCTTATTCTCAGTTCTGCCAAGCCTCAGGAAAGTGCTGGGAGGTAAGGACCCTAAGTTCTTGAAATTTTCTCTAGGAAGCATGTAATACACCACCCCCACCACCACTTCCTTTAGTGATGGGGAAATTGAGACCAATGGGGAAATTAAGTCAAGAGACTCATCTGATATAATAAATTCTCACTCATCGCCCTGAGGCATTGTGCTAGGCATTATGAAGGGGATGCAAAAGCAGCAGAGAAGAGACTGCTTCCTCTTCAAGAAATGGGCCCCCTGCATTGCTCTGTAATGCACCATCATCCCAAGCACCACCCCCCTTTATCCAGGAACGAGGCAGAAATATTCAAGGAATGTTGATGACCAATCCCAAGTCCTGGATGTGCTGCAGAGACCACCAGAACATCTCTGAGAATGATCTTTCATGAGAGAGGTTGCAAATTGGGCCCAGATAACTCAGAAGAATTTGGAGATGTCCCAAGAGGTGGTGGGTGGAGCCACAAAAACTAAGGCAGGGGTTGAGGGTCAGGGAGGAAGTGGGAGCAAGGAAGCTGGGGCCAGAGCTCGAAGTCCTTTGCATGGCAGAGAAGGGAGTTTGATTATTACCACCTAGAGGAGGAGGGATTGTTAATAGTTTCTCAGCAGCAGAAGAAGGTATTTGTCAGGATCGTTTGAACTGTGAGTGACAGAAACCTAATTCAACCTGGGAAAGCAAGACAGGGAATTTACTGGATTATGTAATTGAACAGTTCAGGGATTTAAGGCATGACTGCATGCATTTGTCAGATGATGTGGTCAGGAACCGTCTCTGAGCTGGTTTCGTTTCCAGGCAGTTTCCGCATGAGGTCACAAAGTTGCAACTCCAGCCTAACATCCCCAGCGCACGGAGTCCACCATTTTCCCGAGTAGTTGCGGCCTTGGTTCCAAAGCCGGCTCTCATTGGCCACAGTGGGTCACGTGTCTGCCCACTCCCTGTCTCTGATTGGCCAGGCTGGGTCAGATGTTCAAGAGCTTAGGGCTGGGGTCCACTCCGCCCAAACCTCTTGTATTAAATAGTGGGGAATGATGGCTTTCCAAGAAAACTAGGAGCAGTGCTTCCAGAAGAGCGGGAAGTAGATACTGAGAGGCAGAAAGAGGTTCCTAGTCACTGTCTCCCATGTTTTGTGTTGCAGAAGGGACAGAACGGGGCTGGGAAGCCCACTGGCACCCATGCAAGCGCTGCCGTGGACTTGGAGACCTAACAGCTCTCCTCCTTTGGCCACCCTTTGCCCAGGTGTGGCCTCAAGAGAACCGAGGAAGAAAACTCCCTTTCTCCAGTTTCGCAGGCCAGCGGAAGGAAGACAAGCGGATGGAGGATTCTCAGAATGCTTATTTCCCCTTCTCCTACTTCCCTCACACAGAAAGTCCAGAGAGTCTTCAGAGGAGAAATTCCATCTGCCATCTAGACTAAAAAGACCAGAAAATAAAAAAATCAAATGCTTTTTGAACTATTTAGAGCTGAATCACCAAATTCAGGAACTTTCTCTTCCAATTTCTCACCTGTTTTGGCGGGATGTAGTGGGAAGAGTTTATTAAACTTTAACTACATAATTCAAAATACATTTTTCTTGTAGATAAAAACCCTAGTCATTTGGCAGATATGATCGGCACCTGCTGTGTGCAAGGCTCTGCTCACAGCCATCAACCAGATAGAACCACAGAAATTTCTGCCCCCTTGGGACCTACCTCTTAGTGTGTGGGTGGACACATCAAACAAGAGAACTGATAAATAAGGTCATCTCAGACACTGACAAGTATCTGGAGGAAAATAAAGTGGGGACATGATAAGAAAGTGTCTAAGGAAGCTAACTTGGGTTTTTTAAATTGTTACTCTTTTTTTTTTTAATGGAGAAGTTCGCTTGGTTCAAAATTCAAAGAATACAGAATGGTGTACGATGAAAAGTCTTTTTCCATCCCCCATCCCTCAGCCACTCAATTTTCCACTTGAAGACTGTTATGTTACACACATCAGGGAAACTCTCGGAGGAGGGGACAAATGAGCAGAGACTGACAGAGAAGGAGCCAGCCATGCAAATATCCCAGGGAAGAGTGTCCCAAGGCAGAAGGAAGAGCCAGTATAAAAGCCCCTGTACTCTGCATGCCCATTCGGTATATGATACCTCAGGTGCTTCCTCGACTTTTTTCATGCCCTATGTATCATTTGGCAGTTTGCTTTTTTTCCACTCAATAATAGGTTGGAGACTTCTTTCATGCTATTTATACATCCCATTCTTTTTTAGCTGCTGCCCAATACTTCAGATAAGGGATATGCAATGATTTCTCTATCCATCCTCCTCTTGATGGGCATACAGGTTATTTCCAGTTTCTTGTTCTCACATAATTGCTGCCAGACAAATCCTTGATCAGGCTCCTAGTGTATATTTGCAAGAGTTTATCTCCTATAGGGTCTTGCTGCTTGTTTTGTACAGTACTTGAGCTAAGAATGGTTTTTACATTTTTTAAGAGTTGTGGGGAAAGAACCCTATGTCTAAAATGCCTAACATATTTACTATTTGGACCTTTACAGAAAAAGTTTGCTGGCTGTAGTGCAGGTGGCACACACAAGTGCCACCCCTCCCATTTCAGAGATGAGAAAGCAGAAACTCAGAGGAGAAAGGACTTGCCCAAGGTCACACAGAACTGGGTAAATGTGTCTTGAGACGCTGTTCTGGGCCTGACTGGGTTGAGTGAGGCACAAAAGTTGATCCAGTCTACCCCTGCCCCCAAAGGACTCACAGCCTGAGGAGACACCCAGAGAAATAATTATAACCTAAGTGGATGAGGGCTCAAGATCTCCACAGAGTAGGGTAGAGATGGGGAGAGGATTACTGAATTCTTCAGAGAAGAATAAATGTGAGAGCATGGCCTAAAATGAGGTGAAGGAGGCTAGAACAGCATTCAGGAAATAGGACTGGCCTTGTTTGTACAAAAGCTAATTAGGTTGCCTTCCTCACCTGGTTAGCTGGGCCCTGAAGATGCGTGGTTTTACATGCATACCTTGGGTACACCAATGGGGTTCTGGGGGCTCAGGAAAGAGGACTATAGCCCATATTTATTCCCAATTCAGGCCTCAGTTTGCCCATTTGTAAACATCGAACTAATTATTTCCCAGGCTCCTGCCCCTAGCACTTTACCCGAGCCAGGTGGCGCTCTACGGGAGGGGCGTAACCACAGAGCAACGTCACATGGGGCGTGTCCTGCGGGTCCCGCTGCGGAAACTTCGGAGGGTCAGGGTTCTGACCCAGGGTGGCGCGTGGGGGAAGGGGCTTCCGGGAGCCGGCACTAAGGGAGGGTCTCCCCCGCTTCCGTGCCCCCCGATTGCTGGATGATCCCGCCATACTCTGCAGGCGAAACTGAGTCAACGGCGGGGCCTGCGTGCGTAGGGTCCAGGGGCTTTATCCACCCGGGAACCTAGAGTCCCCTCCCCACCCAGGTTCAGCTCCTCATCCTCCCGCCCCTGCGGCTGTGATTCAGCGGCGGGCCGCTCCCCTTTGGCCCACTTCCTCCTCACCTTCCCTGGACGGGCGGGGGCAGTGAGAGGAGTGGGGCCCCCTGGGGCCCTCCCCACCCATCCCCCCACTTCTGTGCAAGGTAGCGGATTCACCCCTTACTAACCCCTCATAAATTGGCCAAGAAGAGAGACATTAGGAGGGTCTGAAAGTAGGATTTAAGGGAGAAAATATGAAAGAATCTATGCTTAATCAGAGGGCCTTCCTTGCCCCACCCCAAATTGAGCAGAATGTAAAGAAATGGAGAAGTCGATGGGGTGAGAAATTCTGCCATAGGAATCCCCCTAAGAATATCCATCGTGGGAGAGGACGAAGGATCGAGGAAGGAGCCTTTCTCCTCCAAGCTTCTCCCTCTAATTTGGGGATGATCACCCCCCGCGTGCATCGCTATGCAATCACTTGGAGAGGGAGGTAGCGGAAGCCTAGGGTTCCGTGTTGCCCCTTTAAGCGCCCTCCACCCCCCCCACCCCAACTCATAGAGGTGTCCACGGCCCCTTTAAGGCGCAGGGCATTGTGGGTGCGGGGAGTGGAATTTTGGAATCAAATGTAGCGAAGAGAAGTACAGTAGTAAGAGTAACATTGTAGCCGCCGCCGGTGAAGGGGGCGCGCCGGAGACGGGACGTCGCACCCCCCTTCTGCCACAGGGACCCCCTGATCAAATCCCCAGAGGGAAGAGGCGCCCGAGGACCCGCCCCGGCCCCGTCCACGTTCCCTCCAGGAAGCCAGACTCTATGGGGCGGGACCCTGGGGGAGACTGAGCAGAACCTGGAGCCAGCCCCGAACCCCTGAACCTACAGCCAGGGGCGCCCCGGGAGCACCCACCCGTGGGCGCGCCGCCCGCCCGCCAAGCAGCCATGAGGTGAGCCTCGAACTGCCTCCAGACCCTTCCCCGCCTGGCGCGGGCTTCCCGCCCCGCCTTTGTCCCCCTCCCCCCCAGCTTGCTCCGGGCTGGAATTTGGGGACAGGGCACTGGGAGCCTCGGATTTGAGACGAGCTTCAAGTATTGACCACTTCCCCATGACTCGCAAGGCTGGGAATGGTGCCGGTGAGATCCTCCGGGAGCCCTCAGATTTGGGGGCGCTCCGAGGACCCCCGAATTTTTTAAAGACTTTTTGAGAGGATCTCGAAGTTGGCAGATGGTCCCCACAGGGAGGCCAGGATTTGGACCGGGTTCAGACTCCCCCCGACATCTCAACTCAGGCTCCGGGAAGGATTGTGGGGGTCTGGTCTGGGGGGTCCCTGGGACCTGGGAGATTGAGACGTAAGCCTTGGTTTGCAGGGCCCCACTATACAGAGCACTGGTAAGTCTTCCCAAGTGGGACCTCGCTCCCTCACTTAGGGGGTACGTAACCCCCTAAATTTGGGGGCTGTCATCCTCCTGTGGAAGAGGTGCATGCGGACCGACCCACCGACCTAGACGCAGTCTCCCGGGTCTGGCTGGGACTCCCCTCCCCTTCTCCTTACCCACCCCATCTGCGCAAACGGGCAGTGCCTAGGACCGAGCGAGCGCTCTTTGCGGAGGGCGGCTCCCCGGCCCCGGGCGAGAAGGGCGGCCCCTCTCCCCCACCTGCGCGGCCCTGGGGAAGGAGGGGGCGCGGCAGCTGGGGAAAGGGGGCCTTTGTCTTCCTGACTCACCTGTCGAGACAGCTGCTCGGGGGGGGGCTGGCAAGGAGCGCTGTGGGCCGGCTGCTCTCCCCACCGCGGCGCCTCCCCCTTCTCTCCCTAGTGTCCCCCGCCACCACCCACCTCAGCCGACCGGAGCTGTGGGGTTGGAGGAGGGGGCGCCGGAAAGCTTCAAGGTCATAGCCCTCCCCCAGGCTTCCCACATAGTTCCAGCTATCTTACCAGGAATTTAACTCTAGGGTTGGGGGGCCCAAAGGACCCAGAGATTTTGTCTTTCCCAGGCGTGCCTCAAAACTCCCGGGCTCACCTGAAGGTGGGGCCGTTGTGGGCTGGGGGACTGGACTAGGCCCCCCCCATTTCTCCCCTCCTCGTCGCCCCCCATAATCTCTCCCTTGGGGCGTGAGCCTGACAATACTATCTCCCTTCCTCCACTCTGAGGGACTTCCTGCCCCAAAGCCCCCAGCTTGAGGGGGAGGCCCCTGGGGACGACTGGGGATTAACCCCCTAGGGCCCACATTCTCCCACTACCCCCCCCATTCTCCATTCCCCTGCCCTCTGACCTCAGGGTGGCATTCCATTTTTGACGAGTACAGAATCGCCCTCCCGCATGCATTTCTTCCTTCTGATGTGAAGGAGACTGTTGGAAAACTGGGGGCAGGGGGGCACCCATAGACACCCTCAAGACTTATGCGTATCTTTTCCCCCTTATGGTAATATCTCTTAAAGGGGGATGCCCTGAAGAGGGGACACTTTTCGGGAGCCAGGCCCTCTTCCTTCACGCCGCCCCCCGGGGCTCTCCTCTCCCGTGGCCCCAGCCCCGCCCCCGCCTCCCCCTCGCGTTTCCGGTCCCAGGCCCGGTGGAAGGCGGATGGCGGATGTCCGAGTTAGTGCTGCCTCACTCACTGTGAGACCGTAAAAGGGCAGGAGCAATGTCTGGGCCAGCCTCCTGCCCCCCCCTCCCGCAGTCCCGGGGGCTCTGGGCCTCCCGCAGGGCCCCCTACCGCTGGCCATGTCCAAACCTCCCACCTCCTGGGGGGTGGGCAGCAAGTCGAACTCATGCCTGTCCCACCGGAGGGCTCCCACCTCGAGAGGTCTTCCCTGCCACTGGCTGCACCCCCCACTCACTGGGCTGTGCCCTTCTCCCAGGACTGCTAGGATTAATAAAGACCCATGCCCCTGTATGTGGGCAGCTGGGGAAACTGAGTCTAAGAGAAAAGCCTGGCCCAGGATCCCTCAGAAATTCCTAGGTGGTGTAGACGGAAGGAGAGGACTGTCATCCTCTGATTTCTGGCTGGTTTGGCTGGGGACAGTCTCTGGGGCAGTAGGAAGAGAGGATGTTAAGATGGAAAATTACAAGATGCCGTTCTTTTTCTCCCAGTTTGACAAATATTTGTAGAGTGTCTGCTGTGTCTGGGACTGTGAGCTGGGATTCTGGGAAGGCCAGGAAGGAGGGGCAGAGGTCTGAGAATCTCAGGGCAGAAGGGTCTCAGGAAGAATTTAGATTGGTTTCTTTATTCTTCCCAATAGTAGTAATTATTATCTCTTTCTTTTTTAATTACAGAGCCCATTTGATCAAAGTGCATAGTTTGTGCCAGGCACTGTACTAGGTGCCTGATTGAGTTTACTCCTCAAAGCAGTTCTAAAAGATTGATACTATTGACCATTTCCCTCATGGGAAAACTGAGACAGAGAAATTAAGAACGTTGCCTGTTAAAAGTCAGTTCGGAAGTGGGCAAGCCAAATTGAACCCAGGGCCATCTCTGGATTATTATGCTATTAGAGCAAAAGTAAAATAAAGCCATAATGGTCTTTGGAAAAAAAAAAAACAGGTAATATGCTTTCATTGTAGAAACACTTCAGATAATGCAGATAAGCAAAAAGTAACCCAGGTGGGAATTTACCTTCTGGTTCACTTACAGGAAACAGGCCCCATGGGGGCAGAGGAACTATAGAGTAACCCCACACAAGCCCCACTGACCCTAGACACGGTTCCCTATCCAGGGTTGCTTCAAAGATTTGTAATTTGGAAGGTTTGTGTGGGTTGGGGGTGGATCATAAGTTTTATGGTTTAAGGAAGCTATTTGGTAAATCTTGGAGCAGGCAAGAAGGGGTGAAGGAAAAGGCAAGCCTCTGCTCTGGAAGTCTGAATAAACCAGAATGACTGTGCTTGATTGCCTCCAGTGATGAGAAGCTCCCTTGTTTGGAGCCTGTGCCAAGTTTCAGGTTCTGAGCTTTTCTTATCTCTTGAATGCCTTACAACAAACCCAGTGTGCAATAGTTTCCACTGCTGGAAACTGAGGCTCTGAGGGATGAAGCCACACAGCAGGGGGATTACTTGAACCCTCTGTCATCCACCACATGCTAGAGGTTTCCAGAATGTGAGCGCTTGTGGAGAGAGGGATAGATCCTGGGCCGGTTGAGGATTAAGGCTCTTCTATATCAAATGGAGGGTGGGAGACAACGGTAGACCACTGGAGTTAAGCACATCCTATTTCAAGCCCAGTCCCTGATTACTGGCTGTGGGATTTTCTATTTCAATTTTTGCCTAGTTTATGGTGTTTCTAGTTGTTTTTGGAGTAATGAATTAGTTTTTTATAGGTAATACCAGCCTATGGTTAAAAAAAAGAAAATAAATAAGCAATACAAAAGGGTAGACCATATGAAATGTGGCCGTGTCCTCTCTCCTTCCTCAGGCCCCCCCCGCCCCTCCTGCAGGGCAGCCATGGTTAAGTCTCCTGAGAACCAGCTTTGCATAAATCATCACTTTGTGTGCAGATGTATTTATATCCTCCCCACCTTTTTTTTAAGCCTCTGATCATACCACTTTATACCTTGCCTTTAAAAAAATGCAGCTTAGCTGTTTGCTCATCTTTAAATGTGGTTAAGAACTTAGGTGGCCTTGGGTTCGAATATGAGACCCTCTACTTACTTGCTATGTTACCTGGGACAAGTGTGTTCACCTCTCTGTGCCGACAGTTCCTCATCTGTAAAAAGGGCAAGCACCAGAGTCTATTTCATGAGGTCATTGCAAAGTTAATTGAGAGAATTGGAGCTCATTACCTAGAATGCTGTCTGGTCACAGGCTAACCAAGAAATATCAGATGGCTAATTTAACAACTTTTGAGTACCTACTATATGGTGGACACCATTTTAGATTCTGGGGACACAGCAGTGAACAGAAAGGACTACAGACCCTACCCCCACAGTCCTGACGTTTTGGTAGGAGAGACAAGGATCTGTCAGACAGGGATCCCTGCTGTAAATGTGGGATGCGAGGGAGAAGAGCTCTTCCAGCTAAGATAGTCAGGGAGGGCTTCTTGGAAGAGGCGGCTTCTAATTGGAGATGGAAGATGAGAATCCAGGTTGAACAAGTGTACAGGCCTGAAGCAGAAATTTGTCTGGCACATTGAAGGAGCAGAATGGAGGCCAGTGGGGCTGGAACAGTGAGCTCGGGGGAAGGAAGAGATGACATCACATAGATCACACAGATCAAGAAGGCCCTGGAGAGAATTTGTCTTTTACTCTGAGAAGAGGAGCGTCGTGATCCAACTTGTGTTTTAACAGGATCCTTCTGCTGTAATGGGGACGCTGTAGCCTGGAGTGGGGAGGACCAGCCTGGTCATTCAGCAGGCACCCCATTCCCTAGCTAGGCCAGAGACACAGCAGGGCAGGGCCACTTAGGAGAGCAAAGTGCACCCAGGGAGGGGTAGCAACAGCAGTGCTGGGCACCTGGCCAGAGTGGGACCTGGGCGTGGGTTGCAGGTGTGGGCAAGACCTTAACCCTGTCCGGCCACAGACAGTGGGAGCCAGAAACAGCCCCTGAGGCTGCACTTGTCTGGAAACAGCAGCTGCTGTTTGGGTAGGGCCCACACTGTCCCTGGTGGTTAAGACTGTGTACTGGGGAGCCAGATGGCCAGGGTTCAAATTTTATTCTGTTTAGTAGCTGTGTGACCTTGGGCAAGTCACACAGCCTCTCTGGGCCTCCATTTGCAGTCCTGACTTGCAAAATGAGAATGAAATAGTGCCCATCTTGAAGGGCTACAGTGAGAATAAAGTGAGTAACTCTGAGAAAAGGGCTAAGGGCACTTGACCAGCTGAAGTGCCTGCTAAGAGGGAGATGACACGATTATGTAAACATTGGGGGGCTGGGGCTCAGCCTCTGGGCCTAGGAACCCAGAGCCGGGTCTGCAGAGGGACTTTCCCTGCCTGTCAGGTCAGTGTCACACCCCAGCCCCCAGCCCCCAGCCCTGGTAGAGGCAGAGCCACTGTGGGGCAGAATTTCTCTCCCCGGAAATCTCTGACCACCAACTTCCTCTTTTCAGGAAAAAGTCTGCTGGGGGTGGGGTGGGGACTTAGTGCTTCCCCCTAGTCTGTATGTGACCTTGGGCAAGTCAGTTCCTGTCTGGGAGCCTGAGCTTCCTCATTCCGAGAGAGGGTATTGAACCCCTCCCCAGGAGGACTGGTGGGGTTCCGGAGGTACCTCCCAGCCCAGGGCCCCAGTGCTATCTCTTCGGGGTGCCCAGGGAAGGGATGCTGACAGATACTAAGCACATGATAACATGCCAGGTGCCGTGCCAAGCAACTTAGATGCCCAGGCTCATTTATCCTGGGGACAAACATTTCCCCCACTTGCAGGCGAGGAAGATGAGTTCTCAGGAGGAAGGTTGCTTGCCTGAGTCCCATGGAGTAGGTGTCTCAGCGAGGATTTGAACCCAGGTCTGCAGATGTCAAATCCGGAACTCTGAACCGGTTTCCTGACTCCTCCCCAAAGGCTGTCAGATGTGACTTCCTGGAGGAAGCCCTCTCTGATCTCCAGGCCAGGGCAGGTGTTCCTGGGCACCCTGGCTTGGCCCTGGGTTGTCAAAGTCAGGGGATGGCACTCTCTCCTGCACTGGAGGGTGGGGCTGGTGCTGTCTGGGTCACTGACCTAGACATGGGCCGGACAAAGCAGGGAGTGTGTACTAATGGCCATTGGTGCCCGGAGGGCCAGATGGACAGGGTGGCAGCAGGAGGCGGAAGAGCCTGGGATCTCGCTTTAGTCTCCACTGTCGGCCTCACCCTTCCCTTCACTAAGCCTCAGCTTCCTCCTCTGACCTGAGCAGGGGGTGGGGTGGGAGGAGGTCCAGGCGCCTTGGCAGATAGGGAAACTGAGGCTGTGAGAGAGCCAGGCAGGGACAGACTGCAGTGCTGCCTGGGCCCCCGTCCTGTTTCTCCCGGGTCCCTGCTCTAGCTCACACTGCTTACCTGCCTCTCTCTGACTCTGCCTAGCGGTCCCTCTGTCCAAATGTCTTTTTTTCTCCATCTTCCTGTCTCTCCCTCCTTACTTCTTCCAGTGCCTGTCTGTCCCTGCCTTTCCATCTGTCTCCCTACCAGTCCCTTGTCTGTCTGTCTTTCTGCTGATCTGTCTCTTCTTTGTCAGCCTGACTCTCCCTTTCTCACCCACCTTTCCATCCGTCTGTATGTCTTTCCCTTCCAGTCTGTCTATGTGACTCTTTCCCCATCTCTCTGTCTCCCTCTTCTGCCTCAGATTCCCAGTTTATCTGTCTGTCTCCCAGTCTGTCTGTGTCCCACCTGTCTGTTGGTCTCTCCCATTCTGTTTCTCTGTGTTTCCTGTCTCCCTGTGCTCCTTGGTGTGTGTCTCTCTCCTCCTCACACCCTTGGTCTCTTCAATCTCCTGGGGAGACCCAGGTGGAGAAGGTGACTGGCCCCTGGATGGCGGGTTGTATTCCCTCAGCTCACTGACTGCTTTTCCTTTCTCCCCCTCCGGCAGTGAGACGGTTATCTGCTCCAGCTGGGCCACTGTGATGCTCTATGATGACAGCAACAAGCGATGGGTACCTGCCGGCACGGGCCCCCAGGCCTTCAGCCGTGTGCAGATCTACCACAACCCCACGGCCAATTCCTTCCGGGTAGTGGGCTGGAAGATGCAGCCAGAACAGCAGGTGAAGACGCCCTCTCCTCTCCCTCTGCAGCCTGCACCCCTCCACCGTGCGCCCACCAGCCCTCACCCACCTTTCCCCTCCTGCCAGGTGGTCATCAACTGTGCCATTGTCCGGGGTATCAAGTACAACCAGGCCACCCCCAGTTTCCACCAGTGGCGCGACGCCCGCCAGGTCTGGGGCCTCAACTTCGGGAGCAAAGAGGACGCAGCGCAGTTTGCTGCTGGCATGGCCAGCGCCCTAGAGGCACTGGAAGGTTAGAAACAGTGGTGGAGGGGACCACCGAGCCCTGCCGCGTAGCCTTGGGCTGCCTCTCACCACTCTGGGCCTTAATTTACTCATCTGAAAATGGGGCTAATTCACTGCTACTGAGGAAAATTATTCTGAGGATTTCTGTGAGGTCCTGTAGGACCCCTGTTCATGCACATGTAAAACACATGATTCCTAAGAGTACAGGATGCTCCATGAATTTTTACACATGCACACTCCCCTGTGACTGCCCCCCAGATGTAGGTACAGATACTCCCAGCCTTGAGAAGGCTCGTTGTGCCCTTTCACCAGGTAGCCATTGTACCGACTTACATCACCATCAGTAAGTTTTTAGGCGTTGCTATTAAGAAAGAAATCTCCAGTTGTGCGCACAAATCATCTGGGTGAGACAGATTCCAGTTCAATTAGACCGGGGTGGGGCCCAAGTCTCTGCATTTCTAACAAGCCCCCTGGTGATGCTGAGGCTGCCAATCCTAGGGGCAGTACTTTGAGGAGCAGGACAGACAATTTGAGGAACTTCAGATCACCAAATGGCAGAGGTGTTTGTTTCCCAGAGTGCCGCCAGTACCCATGGGAAAGGGCTTGCTTGTCTGGGGGCCTTCCCCAGGGGTTCTCAGGCTGGGGGTCTGAGTGGCGGTGATGGTGGTTAAACGCCTGGACACTGGAGTCAGCCTGAATTCGAGTCTTGTTCCTGCAAGTTCTGGTCTGCAGGACTGGGGGCAAGCGACTGTCGCATCTGGGCCTTGGCCGTCCCACCTGTAATTTGGGCATCCCTGCAGTCCCCTGCTCATGCCAGCTCAGTCAGGGAAGTGGGTGTTTACCCTCATCCCAGAAATTCGGCCAGGTACCCCCACCCTAGCCGGGAGTGTCAGGGCGTGGAGGAAGGAATGAACGCCCCTGGGCAGGATTCCTGGGAGGCCTGAGAGCTGCGGGAAAGGGCCAAGGGGTGGGGCGGGGTTCTGGGTTGACTCATCCCCTCTGCTCTCACCTTCCAGGAGGTGGACCTCCGCCCCCGGCTCCGCCCCCAGCAGCACCTCCGACCTGGTCTGCCCAGAACGGTCCCTCTCCAGAGGAGGTGGAGCAGCAGAAAAGGTGGGGCCAGTCCCTCGGTGGGGGCTCACCACTGCTGGAGTTCCAAGATGTTCCAGAACCCCTGATTCCTCTAGTTCAGAACGCCCCACTTTCAGTTTCCAGAATGTTCCAACTCCCAGGGGATTAGAAATGAACAGCTTTCAGAAACTCCTGCCTCCTGGAATCTGAGACACTGCCGACTTCCAGACCTGTAGAACCTTCTGACCCCTCAAATCCTGGTCTCTGGATTCTCAGGGTCTAGAATTTGGTTGTTAAAAGGATGTTGGGCATTTTGTAATTCAAATGTTCTTGACAGTCTGCTGGCTAGGACGGTGGCATTTTGCTGTCACTGTGCCCCTGCCCTCCCTCTTAGTCCATTCCTGGGCTCCTGGGGAAGGAAGGCTCAGGTGGGAGTTAGGAGCCTGTCTCACTGGAGGCCTCAGAGGAAATGTGAGGTGGTGGCCATCCGGGGGCCCCGAGTGATGGCAGCTCCGTCACCCCACTCAGGCAGCAGCCAAGCCAGCCGGAGCATATGGAGCGTGAGCGCCGCGTCTCCAATGCAGGTGACTGCGAAAACGGCCGGGGTGGGGGTTAGGGGGTGGGGGCTGGGGCCCTCCCCAGAGGGGGGCGAGGGCCAGCTGGACAACAAAGAATGCTGCTCTCTTTTAACACCCCTCTTTTGTGTTTCAGGGGGCCCACCTGCTCCCCCAGCGGGGGGACCACCCCCACCTCCAGGACCTCCCCCTCCTCCTGGTCCACCCCCTCCTCCTGGTCTGCCCCCCTCAGGGGTCTCAGCTGCAGGGCACGGAGCAGGGGGACCCCCACCCCCTGCACCACCTCTCCCCACAGCACAAGGCCCCAGTGGTGGAGGGGCTGGGGCCCCTGGGCTGGCTGCAGCCATTGCCGGGGCCAAACTCAGGAAAGTCAGCAAGGTGAGGGGGCCGGGGTGGGGGGTGGGGTGATGGAGGGATGGGATGGGCCAGAGCTGGCTGGAGGTGGGGATGTCCTAGGGGGCCCATCCATAAAACCCCTTTGTGTAATTTCTCCAGCAGGAGGAAGCCTCAGGCCCCCCACCTGCCCCCAAAACCGAGAGCAGTAGAAGCACAGGTGGGGGGCTCATGGAAGAGATGAATGCCATGCTGGCCCGGAGGTGAGCCTGAGCCTGGAGTCCTCAATGCCTATGGAAAGCTCTAGGGACAAAACCCTCCACCCAGTAGTTATCTCCTGGAGATTCTAGTCTCGTAGGACCAGGCTGAGTGGAGGGCTCAGATTCCCATTTTTGTTTCTTTGGGTCAAAGCTCCCCTTTGATAGCCAGGTTTGGGATATGATGCTGGGAATTGCATTCTCCTCAGATCTAAGACAAGAGCCTTCCACCCTTTGCATTTTGTGATTCTCAAATGTGAGAATTGTAAAACCCTCCCCCAATTCGAGCACAATATTCTCTTTGACTCCTAATACTAAAGTTTTCGTAGCCTTCATCTATTCCAGAACTCTGCACCCTAGAATGCACCTTTCTAGAATCGGGGAAGGGAAATTGTTGCGTGACCAAGAGATGGCTGAAGGCTGGGGGTTTTTTTGCCTTTCCCTCCTGCAGAAGGAAAGCCACACAGGTTGGAGAGAAACCCTCCAAAGATGAATCTGCCAATGTGAGTGCCTTCTTCCTGACATACACACCTTAGGCTGTACCACTGGCGTAGGGATACTGGGGAGGCTGGTATGACAGGCCCCGGCTGGGTTTTGAAGCTGGAGGAGGAAAATGAGCAGAGGTGCGGCAGGGGCTGGCTCATGACAATTTTATTTTCTACCAGCAGGAGGAGCCAGAGGCCCGAGTCCCAGCCCCTAGTGGTGGTGAGTGGTCTGCCTGGCCCTTAGGAACTACGAGTCCCAGGATGCCTTGTTCTTATTATAACACCCTCATGGGAGAATATGTGCAAATAATGGGGATTGTAATCACCTGAGATGGTCCTTTGACCAAGAGCGGTTAATACTCAGGGAGAAAGATCGAGTCAGGGCATTCCTGACCTTTCGGCTTTGTTGCCTGTCCCCCAGAATCTGTGCGGAGACCCTGGGAGAAGAACAGCACAACGTTGCCAAGGTGGGCCACCCTCCGTAAAAGTTGGTTTTGCTAATTTTATAAGGAGGAATATAACCTAACCCCCCGGAACGGGAGGCAGGGGAGGAGGCAGGTCCTCCTAACCTTATTTCTGTCCCCAAAATACCAACTCTCCCAGGATGAAGTCGTCTTCTTCAGTGACCACTTCCGATGCCCACCCCTCTACATCCAGCTCCAGTGAGGAGTCAGACTTGGAGAGAGTGAAGCAGGTAGCTTGGGGGTGAGGTTTTAGGGCTAGGAAGGGAAGAAAGATCTGGATCCAAACTCTGCCACTGACTTACTCTGTAATTCTAGAAGAGGCCTCAGAAACGTCAATTTTCTAATCTGAGGAATGAGATTGCATCGGGTCAGGGATGACACGGACACCACAACCTCCTTTTCTAGTGGCCGTGACAGACCTTACTAATCTATCACTACACTCACTCCTGATGAGTACCCAGAATCCTTTGCAGCACATTGCTGCAGACATCCATCACCACTTGGAGTTGGCAGAGGACTGGCATATATTTGCCAGCCCTGTTACTGGATGGTCTCCAGTACTTTTCTTCTGGCCCCAAAGAATTCTCCCCTAGAATTCTCTAGTCATTCTCTGGCCTTGTTAGTGATGTCATGGTACGTGTGTTTCGATGGTGGGGGTGGGAGTGGGTCTTGAACCTCTTTCCTCAGGCCGTGTAGTCATTGAAAGGGAGGGTTCATTTCTGCAAGTCCAGGCACCCTTCCTGATTGGTTGCACCCCATTATTTTCAGGAGCTTCTGGAAGAGGTGAGGAAGGAATTGCAGAAAATGAAAGAGGAAATAATTGAAGGTGAGGTTTTTTATTTTAAACATTTAACTTGTTTTGGAGGCACTGTGTCTCTCGAAAAAAGCCCTGTTTTGGAAGGGAAGGGGAAAGAGGCTCTGCCTCTGACCTCTGCCCCTTGTTTCCTTACAGCCTTTGTCCAGGAGCTGAGGAAACGGGGTTCCCCCTGACCATAGGGCCCCAGAAGATCCCATTTTCCTTTCTAGCACACCCTGCCTGTTACCTTGCTTTCCTTGCCTCACTCGACTTGGAATTGGCCTAAGACTACACAGGAATGCGTCTTACCCACTCCCCAACCCACTTGGAAAGTTCCAAGGGGGTGGGGCTTCCCTGGCACCATGCCCACGCCCATACTGGCTGCTGATTGGCTGGGGAGGCCCCCACCCTTTGCTCCCTTTGGTCCTTCCCCTCTGCCATCCCCTTGGGGCTGGTTCCTCTGTTGGGGATGTACCAATTAACCCCACAGTAAGGGGGAAGGAAGGAGGGAATTTCACATTCCCTTGTTCTAGATTCACTTTAATGCTTAATGCCTTCGATTTTTTTTTTTTTTTTTTTTAA